TAGCTAACTACTTCCTAGTTCCAACTCCGCCGCTCAAAGTTGGTTTCCAATATGCTTAATTGAGTTACTTCCGGACTAACGAATTTACTTTTTGTTTGGATTTGAATATCGATTTGTAGTTTTATTAGTTCTGTGCGGATCGACTTGTTAATAGCTGGTTTGGGCTGCGCTGGGGATTCAATTATGGTGGAACAACACGGTCTCGCGTTGAATTTGAATTCTAGCTGATACTGCGTCGTTCTATTAATAGAGAAATAATAGATAAGGTAACTTGCATGTAAGAATTGATTGCAATGAAAAAGTCTGTAGACTTTAAATATCTTCTCAAAATAAATTTTCTAACCTCACACTGTCAGAATAAATGTCAATCTCTCCTTCTCTTGCCTTTTTGCTTTTTCTTGAGATTCAGAAGATCATTTTTTATGCATAAAAAGGCAGGTATTTGACCGCAATCGCACCTGGTGTTAAGTGCGACGGAGTCTAGGATGATACATAATCTGCCCTGTAAGTGCCTATTCACTTTCGCCTTGAAAAGGCCCGGATTATAGTGTGAGCATCATTCGCATAGTTTCTACACCTTTCTATAGTTCCAATTGGACTCATACTTCGCGTTTCATTTAACTACACAAAATTTAGCAGATTCAAGTCCAGCAAAGGTCAAATTAGCATGATAATGAAATGTACAGTCTGTGGTCTAGCCTATTGATATGAATTGTCTGGCGCGAGATGACAATTTGTATAGAAACATCATGTCACGAGCCACGACCTTCCCGGCTGTATGCCAGGAGCTTTACATAACTACAAATATTGTATCAATAAGTAGTCATAAATTCCTACAACTGTCTGTCAGAAATTGTATCAGAATTGCTAAAATCATATTCAAGTGGTCGGGGCACATAGCTCGTAGAGCTGATGGCCGATGGGGCAGAAAAGTTCTCAAGTGGCGACCATAGGCCAAAAGACGTAGTGTGGGCAGGTTTCCCACTAGATGGATCAACGATCTATTGAATGTCGCGGGAAGTACCTGGATGCGGGCGGCACAGGACCGGTCGTTATGAAATCCTTGGGGGAGGCCTTTGACCAGCAGTAGACGTTATTTGGCTGAAACGAAGAAATGATTGTACTTGAAATTATAGATCACAAGTATTCGCCAGTAAATCCTTAAAAAGAAATCAATAAGCACTTCAAGAGTCGTATTTAAGCATTCAAGCCTCTTAGCCGAACGAGATAATAGGCTGACGACGTCCGCACTTTGTACACTTGATTGATCGAACACAGGACATAGGCTAGGGCTTGACTTTGAGCGAGGAATAATATTAAAAAAAAAAAACAGAAAAAACCCGTTTGTTAGTTTGCATGGATACAAAAGAAATTCAATGATAGACCGCAATTGAAACAGATAATAATTCAAAAATAATAAAAATTACTAGTCAAAAACATTCATCATCATCATCACCTCAGCCATAGGACGTCCACTGCTAAACATAGGCCTCCCCCCATGCTTTTCATGCTGCCCGGATGGTAGCGGCCTGCGTCCAGCGCCTTCCTGTTACCATTATGATGTCAGTGCCTGAAGACTTTATGTTCTGTTTTCGTGTATATTACAAGTAAAACCAGGATCGTATTGTTACGAACTATTTTTCACAATAATCTGACCCTAAGTATTTCTCGGAAGGACAACGAAGTTCGTATACGAAAAATATTTTCCATTTCTCTTGAAAAATATACCTTCCTATCCTAGGAAAGTAAGTAATTTACATGACTATTATTACCTTTATGTGATATTTCAACGCGAAGAATAAGTTAAGGGAGCTAGTTATCTTTTTAACTTCACAGCTTGGTACCTCTTGCGAGTGACAGGACCTTTCTCTACACTGGAGCCGTATTGGTGATTCCTCCAATCCTCCTATAGATCGTTTCATCCGCGAAGATGCGCCCCACCATTCTTCCGCTAATGTTTGAGTGTTATCGGTACACGCTAAATATCCATAAGTGCACGCACACACTACAATAATGACGCTCGGATTGCTCGGATCAAACTCCCCGCGCTTCCCTCGACCAAAAATTGGTGGGGAGCGTCTTCGTGGATGAAACTATCTATACCTATGCCATAGTCCTTCTACAGCTTTATCGCTTACTAGTGTCGTCACTAATCATTATTTTAGCCACTATCTGCAGCAATTAACATGACCTTACTCTGCAGTGACGCTACGCTACGCCTACGTAACACTCATCATCATCATCATTTCAGTCATAGGACGTCCACTGCTGAACATAGGCCTCCCCCAATGATCTCCATGTTGATCGATTGGCAGCGGCCTGCGTCCAGCGCCTTCTTGCTACCTTTATAATGTCGTCGGTCCACTTTGTGGTTTTCCGTACGTACGTACACTCACCAGTGAGTTTTTTGAACTTTTAATCACCACACATGCCCATTGAGAAATACATTTGATTTTCAAGCAGTCCTTTAATTTAAGACCACCAACACACGAAAGAAGAAAAAGTACTTTTAGAGAATCTTAAAATTAATTTTATCGATTTCTGTTGTAGAGATTTTGTTTTGTCAAGACCATGCTCCCAAGAAACCCAACGGCCTTGAGATTTCGGCAGCCATTTATCGCCTGTCGGCACGACATATCGCGTTATAAATGACGCGTAAGAAGGATTTTAATAGTATAAAATCTTGTGATAAATGAAGCCCCGAAATTCCATAGTAAGTTTAACAAGTAAGTAGTGCGTATTTTATAAGAAAGCTGGTGAGGATAGATGGACGTTTGTTACTTGTCTACGCATATACCAATTAACCATTCAATCCATTTAGATTCAATTTGGCATAGAGATAGTTTGAGACAATTCGAAAAACGTAAGATAGTTTTATCCTAGTTTTTGGAAGGGTCCAACCAAGGGACACGCGCTAGAAAATTCACGCAGTGGGCTCTCGTAAATAAATCGGGTGGATTTCGATACCAAAGGAAGATAACTATGTTTTAAAGATACCTTGCAAGATAACAAGGTAGGATAACGTATCTAGATCCAAGTTTTCTAATTAAAATACTCTTTAACGCTCTCAAGAGACATGCTAAAGCGCGTTACAGAATAATCACTTCCCAAAAATCTTTAAAACGCAAATTCCATTCCAAAAACAAATTGAAAGGCCAACGAAAGTTCGCTCCGCGTGTTTCGCTTTCTGGGGTGTTTGAAATAAGCTAAACGAGCTAATCAGCTGAATTCAGGCCAGACAACGTCCGCACTTTGTAGATGTGATTGATTAATCCCAGCGGCGACTCGACGACAGACGGGCCGGGGCTTGACTGGGAGCGATGCGGATTTTACAGAGCAATTTCTGCTTTCGTGATGGATTGTTTTTTGTAGATTACTGTGCAGTTGAAATGTTTTAGGTTTTGTTAAAGAAACTGGGAAATTAAAATTTTGAATGCTATATCTAAAATGGATGCTATTTTACAATTATTTCTTGAAGGTTATTGAAAAACTAGACACGAGTTAGCGTGTCCAGCCAAGTTCAAGTAACAGAACTGGCGAGCAGCACCGTGTGTAATATTATACGAACCATTTATTATTTTATTCCCTATTTTTTTATTACAAACCTTGAAAATGATCTATCAGTGTTAGGTACTATAAGATATTCATTTAGTTCAAACTGATTGAAATTGAGTAAGAACAAAAAAGCTGCGTTTAACAAGGTTTGATTGGATCGACAGTTTATAATAATCGTGCTACTTTATCATTTCTACTGGATAATGCATTTCAAAACTTTATTTAAAAAAATTAATCATCAAAAAATATACAAGGCACTGATTCTTTTGACTTTCCCAACCCAATGTCTAATTACCGAATGACAATCTCAAAACATCGCCTCTTCCCAAACCGCGCAATCACGCTTCGGAAATGCGGCGGCGTAAACAACTTGTCAAGTAACAAGCAACTTAAAAGGATCCAATAAAATTTTATTTGTCCTTCCGTTTTGATTTATTAATTTCGACGATGACCTTGTTTGTGGTTCGGAACAATCGCTGATGGATTGATGGGCTACGTAATTTGTATTATTTCCATTTGGGAATCCGAATTGGGTCGATAGACTTATGCAATGAGGGCTATCGTTTTTATACTTAACAGTTGGCACCCCTGGCGATTGACAGGACCTTACTCTACAGTGGCGCCATGTTGATGAGTGCAAATGCGATAGTCCTCCTACCACTTTAGCGCTCACCAGTTGGTGCCACTGTCTTCGCTACTAGCAAGGGACAGGACCTTACTCTACAGTGGCGCAAACTGGTGAGCGCTAAAGCATTGGATGATACAGAAATAGCTGGTAATAATCTTATTAAAGACGCCATTTTAAGCTTATTGCATGTGTCCAGTTTCTTAGGCTGAGTTGCACCAACTTACTTTGACCGTAACTATGACAATAACCTGCGTTTTTTTGTATGGAGTTTGATCGATTTTTGAGGTTTGTCAAAGTTAAAGTAAAATGGTGCAACCCAGCCTCAGGCTGAGTGATTCAGAATTCTTCTTCGAAATCTTTGAAAGCTTATTCTTATTAAGACTTAGCTGATATTGACTTAGCTTGACAGAAAAAACTCTAATAAAACTCTTTTATTTTCAAGTAGTCTTTTAAAAAGCACTTTCACAAAGAAATTAAATTGCTTTGAATTTTCATCCCCATTACAGAAACTCAATTTTTTTTTTTTTTTTTTGAAGGGACGCGCGCTGGTAGCTTGAGGAGCTTTTCCAGCTTCACCGGGCAGAGTGGCGAGTACAGAAGGTACTCTAGCCGTTTGACGATCGTCGGTCGCAGACCGACGTTCGCGATCGGGCCGTATCGAGCGCATAAGGCGCCCGATCAGTGGCGAACCCAACTAGAGTGTTGCCCACCGCGGTGTTGGACCAAAGTCCAGCCTACGGCGGGCTCACTCTAGTGGGCCCGATCGATGGGACTACGGACGCGGCCTGAGGGCGCCACGGTAGGCTCGGACCTCGGCTCAGGCCGTGTCCGGGGGACGGATAGGGGAGAACCGGCCCGGTACATGTCTGTACCGTCCGAAATGGAAAGCAGGGCCTCGTACTCGCCGGCGAGTACGGTGTAACGAGCTACTGTGTTGTGGAGTAGTTGGCGTGCTTAAGGCAGTGATGTCTGTGTTCAGAAATTCGGTAATAGGATCGTCCGGGTCGTCTAGGACATGCCTAGGTCGTCGGTATTGGGCAGCGACATCTTTCTGGGGTGTATACGTGGCGGCGCTAACGATAAGAGGTTAAGTAAGGCACTTAAAGATAAAGCAAATTGTAATGTATCATTTGAAACATTAATGAATCGTTACTTATTTCATTACAGAAACTCAATACATGTTGCCACGAATGAGACTCCATCTCAGTTAATGTTTCAAAGGAAATTAAGAACTCGTTTTGATTTATTATTGAACAAGGAAAGTAATTGTATGTACAAGGAAGGGAACTTAAGTAGAAGAGAGGAATCGTTTGAGGAAGGGGAATATGTTTATTGTAGAGATTACAGAAACCCTAATAAGAAAGTTTTTACTAAATGTGTTATCGATGAGGTATTAGGAAAGAGAACATACTTGTGTAAAGTTTTAAATGAAGGTTTAATTTGGAAAAGACACTTAAATCAGATTATTCGTTCTGTACCTTCAGAAAGTAAAGATATTAATGATTCCATAGATTCTCAAACTTTACCTTTAATTAAATGTAATGATAACTTTAATAGTGAAAAAGAGTCTAGTATTATTTCAGAAAATGTTTCAATTCCTGTAAACGAGAAAACAATTCAGGCATCTCCAATTGTTTCCTCGGGTAGAACTGTAGAAGATTTAAAGTTAAATAGTGATAATATTCATTCCCCAACAAATGTAACTAAGGATAAAAATGTACCAGGCAATTCTCCAGTTCCTGTAGTCCGTTCACAGAGAGTCCGGAGACCTCCTGTTAAGTTAGATTTATAAGTACTGATTGGAATTGTAAGAGGGGAGTATATGTTATGTATCGTTATTTTATATCGGTATTTAATTTGTTATTATAAGCGCGTATCCAAACGTAGCTAGTTTAAAAGCATTATTCAGGATGTGTATCCGAGATTCTTTCTTCTTGATACGCCAGACAAAATGGCGATAGGCAATCTTGTAAGCTCTGTGTTTAATCGAAAATAAAAGACAGTATCTTCAAATAGAAACAACTTTTATTTACGTCTCCAAGGCGGAGACATCACATTAACTATGATACAATTTCAATGTTTGGCTAGTTTGAAAGTACATTTAAAATGGTTTATTCGGAAATTCTTGTACGTACACAGAGCACATACTCAAAAGCGATGGAAAGTAAAAAAATCATTAAAATCTCATTTCATCTGAAGTTACTGAAGTACTTACTTAGGTACTTACTTATAACTATAACCTAAACTAACTAATATACTTATTCCACGCGGACAAGGTAGCGGGCCGAAGCTATACTTACGAGCAAAAGTATGGAATCACCCTCTTGTGTTTTGTTCCCAACGATCTGAAGAACTCAAACTATCTATGCATATTTGGTATCAAGTTAAAGCTTGTAATGTAACCCTTAAACTGGTACCATTTTTAATTTAATCTTCATAGTCGTTTAGCTACAACGATTACTCAAAATGAATGGGGTGATTCCATACTTTTGCTCGCGAGTGTAGTTCAATTTATAAAATTAATCTTTGATCCTGATTTTGACACTCAAAGCCTTTGTTATTATTATTTTACTTTTACGTTTTATTCGTTAACAGCCTGATTTCGGCCAAACAATATTGTTCCTATATTCTGAGTGACAGGAGATAAGATATCTGGAAATAGATTTGTGGATATGTATTGGTTGATGGCGACCGCGATATTGTTATTTTTGTAGTGATTTCACATTATGTTTTATCTGATATTTTCTGGCCTTGGCGGTCTTTTGTGTACAATGCATGTGATGGAAAAGGTATCTTTGTGATAAAGACTGAAAATGTAATGGAATCTAGTTTTTTTTTAACTACAACGAGGAAGCCCTTGGTTTGCATTTCACCTGATAGAAAGATGATCAGGCAAGACACATAAAACCTCATAAAACTAATTTATTTTTGCAAATAGGCTTTTAAAAAGCACTTTTACACGTCCTTGTATTAACCCCTACCACTGCTGCGGGACAATAATTGGGCCAGTGCTGAGAAGAAGCAGCGCAAGAGACTCAGTCACTATTGTTAACATTGTTGCTATGGCGACAGACTTAGAAGCTGGTGGTAGCTAGCTAGGCAGACTTAAAACAAGCCCTACCACCAACCGAACCCAGCAGAAAAATTTGCCTCCACTGCGAATCAAATTTTAGAGGTGATTGAATTTCTTTGATAGACTGAGATCTTGGATCCGATACAGAAAAATATTATGCAGATACTTTTAAATGAAGAAGCTGTGTTCAGCTGGAGGTAAGATAGCCTGTTCCTCTGTAGTTGAGGATTCCGGGTGAAGCTCGCTTCCACCTTCGGCTTGATCATCACTTTCATCTTGAGATACAAACCGGGAGCATCTTCGTTGAGGATAAAAAAAATGATGACGTAAGTAACAGCTTTCAATAAAAACCGTTGGAACAACAAAACACGTTCAAAGTTCCTGGACCATCAATGAATATTTTTTCTGGTCCAGTGGACTTTCATTTCGTATCTATTAACATCTCTCTGATCTGTTTGAACGTAAAATACGTACTGGCATTGAAATTGTGTTTCGTTTGAAATCTGAAAATCTTTTGTGTCGACTTATTGTAAAAGCGAAATAAATATTTAATTAACTCCACAGATTCTGAAAAATTTGAAATTAAAATAGTTAGATATTATAAATATTATCATCGTATTTAGTACAAGTAGAAATTGAAAATTCTTGTCATTAATTATGTTTTTTATGCAGAAAAAGGCAGGTATTTGACCACAATAGCACTTATGTTAAGTGAGTTGCTGTATTGGTAGATTATTTAATATTTATAATAATGTAAAGCATACTTAAGTAAGTAGGTATAAATTTATGTAAAAGTAGCTTAAATTAAATATTAAATTCGTCATAGAGTACGAAAACAGACGATCCAATTTGATATTCAAACACTGAAATCCTTATTTACCGTCGCCATTCCGAAATATTCACCAAACTCTATCAAACGAATCCCTTTTTACTATCTAATAGAATTTGTATGTTTTACCACAATATTGGAAGGCAGAAGGCTCTGTCAATACAATAAGCTCAATGAACGCCTCTGTGATCTAGTGGTAAGACCACCTGCTTCAGACGCAGAGGTTCCGGGTTCGAGTCCCAGTGAGGGGAGATTTTTCTGTTCGGTTTGGTTGGTGGTAGGGCTTGTTCCGCCTGGCTAGCTACCACCATCTTTCTTAAGTCTGTTGCCATAACAACAATGTTAACAGCATTGTTGTGTTCCTGCAGGAAGAGGTAAGATAGCCAGTTCCTCCGTGGTTGAGGATTCCGGGTGAAGCTCGCTTCCACCTTCGGCCTGATCATCACTTACCATCAGGTGAGATACAGGCCAAGAGCTTCCTCGTTGTGGATAAAAAAAAACTTCATCGACTGGGAACAAAATGGCACTTGCACTCCAATTTTGAGCCATCCAAGAATCCATCTTTAGTGCATTGTTTTGTTTTTAACACGCTTTTATTAGGCCGGTCGTCGTGTATGTAACTATGTAATGGAATCTATAATGATTTGCACGCACTTCTAATTCTTGTATACCTAATCATGAAACTTGGCAGGTATTAGATAATATTATGGTACTATCGAGCTGGTCTGATGATGGGAGTGGAAGGTGGCCATAGGAATTCCTAAACGAAACGGCGGAAATTCATTTTTGGCCTTTTAATGCGTAATCAAAAGTGTTTTTAGTTTTTAAACTATTTTTTTTATTACATTATTATCTACTGTCAGTTATGTTTATAGTCAAACTCAACTAGTCGATTACTATGCAGACCTACTGAACCCTTTCTATGTTTTTCAACTCGCTTAACCACAAAGACCGTTTCACGCGATATTATACTTTATGCCGCATAAAATAAGGGATATCTTTACTGATTTACGGGCTTTAGCTGGAATAGCATAAAAAGGGATTTCTCGAAGGCCCTTCAGGCCATTTGAGAAAAATAAGGTTACTTCTCTTTCAATTGATTTAGTTCTAAGTTACTCGATTGTGGTTTGTATTTAGGGGACAAATGTCCCTGATAAGAGTGAAATGTAGCTGGAAGTGACGTGCGACATTGATTGACTTCAAAAATTGACCTATGGTAACCTACAAACTTATTCTATTTAGCTTACCACGAGGAATAAACTGGAAGAGAGGTTCTATTTTACTCTCTCAGAACCTCACGTCTCGGTTAGGTAACCGGTAAAAAATAATTTAGGTATTTTCAGACAATGACACTGAGGTATTTTCAGAAAATCAGATTGATTGTCTGAAAACCAATGCGATTCAGTGCTTGTGTACTTAAGTTGAGCCATATTAAGCACCTTAAGGCAGGCCGCCCTAGGTGGACTGACGATCTGGTGAAGATCACAGTACCTAGATGTGGACAGCACAGGACCGATCGCTGTGCAATTCTTGGGGGAGGCCTTTGTCCAGCAGTGGAATCATTTGGTTGAAACGAAGCACCTTTGAAAGCCCATTACGACCTATCTTGGATTACGGGACTATTCCCACCTCTCGTTCCCACCACTGCAACTCCTGTGTAGCCAGGATCTACAGCTTGACCGCCACAAAAACCCAACCAATGAAGGTCAAGTTTGTCCCGGGGGAAAGTTAAACTGTCATTGGACCCGCAACGAAAATAATCAGAAGAACATNCGAAATGGAAAGCAGGGCCTCGTACTCGCCGGCGAGTACGGTGTAACGAGCTACTGTGTTGTGGAGTAGTTGGCGTGCTTAAGGCAGTGATGTCTGTGTTCAGAAATTCGGTAATAGGATCGTCCGGGTCGTCTAGGACATGCCTAGGTCGTCGGTATTGGGCAGCGACATCTTTCTGGGGTGTATACGTGGCGGCGCTAACGATAAGAGGGTTCTTGTGGTTGATCGCTTTATCAAAGTAGCGGCGAGAGGCTTCTTTCATAAAGTGATCAATCGATGGGATCTCGAAATCTCTATGGAGATTCGTGTTACGCACGAACCACGGGGCATCCGCGGCTCGGCGTAAGAATTTGTTTTGGAGGGTCTGGAATTTCTTAAGGTCTGTGCAGGAAGTGTGAGCAAACACCGGACTGGCGTAAGTCAACACTGGACGGATGCAGGTTTTGTAAATTGTCAACTTATTTCTAAGTGACAATTTACTTTTCCTTCCAACTAGGTGGTACAGTCGTACAGAAACTCAAGAAATGAGCCAAATATTTAAAATGGCCACACGCGAAGTATAAGACGTGTTATAATTACTTTCTAATTTAAAAGTGTTGATATATTGTACCAAAAATATATGTACTTTAAAGTTTAAACAATGAGTCTAAATTAGAACCAGAAATGTATGTCATGCAAACAGTCTCGATTCCCTAAAATTGAAAATTTCTCTCTCTATTTGACTTCGGTATTATTATTAAGAAAGTTCTTTCAAGTCAAGTCAGTGGGCTGTTAGCATTTCAGGAAAAGTTGGCGGTCAAATAATTACACTGAAGCCATATTTGGGTAGTGATGTGGATGGAATGTTATTTGAACGTGTCGATATGTAAGTGTTTTGATTTTATCGTAGTTTAACTAAAATAAATTACTCGATAGTTACCATTATTTGATATTTTGTAGTGGTACACAAATTCGTAATATACATTCGACTAAAATCATCTTTTTGTTAGTGAGTTTGGGATATTATAATGTAAATATCAAAAAGGCATTAGTTAACAACAGGTGAAGACAATANGATCGGTGTAATAAATTGCGGAAACAGATGTATGTTGTATTGAATTAAGCATTATATCACGTTCATGTTTCCAAAGATCACACTCCCATCCTATCTTGGACCTATCTTGGATTGTGAAGTTAGCAGTGACACAGCTAAGAAAATGTTAAGAATCGGGATAGAAGAGGAATAAATGATACTCAGGCTCAAGGAAGGGAAAGCGATATAATAAAAAAAAGGATTATAGGAAGATACAGGATTACAGGGTATAGAAGAGCCAGAAAGATGACAAGATGACATATAGAAAAATATAAAAGTATAAACCATAAAGCTATCAAAAGAGGCCGTTCGTAACAAAACTCAAATATAATATTACGAGTAATATAAAAACTTAAGTAGAAGATTCTATAAAATATCTTTGTCTAAAATGTGTAAAATTTAATTAAAATAACGCCTTAATTATCCGCTCCTGAATGCCTTCACAGAATTAGTTGATAAAATAATTAAAGTACGAGTATGTTCATGATACAGCAAAAGCGAATTTGTGTGAAGGCGCTAATTAGTACAAGGAAATACTCTAACGTTATTAAAAGAGATTTTCTGTGAACCAAAAGTCTTAGATTTTTATATCACAATTTGTTAATTTGTTAAGTAGGTATTTGAAACAAAAGATACGTGGGCTAAGTTGCACCATCTTACNAGACATTATTTTAACCCTTAAGTAACATCCTTATTTTTGGTTACATATTGAACACCCTGGGGGAAAAAAATACCCCAAACGAAAATTGAAATTTTTTAAATATATTTTGAAAATCAATAAAAAAAATTGATTTATATGTATTAGCGGGCTCAATAATTATACGATTGCTTTAAAAAAATCGTCTACCTAGCGTAAAGAAACATCTAAATCAATCATAACAAAAAACAAAGAATTTTTCATTTGCAACTAATAGTCTCCACAATGATCTTCTAGAAAAATCTAGGAAATTTATTGTGGGAACTAAAAACTTACACTAATTGGACATCGAATAAATGCTTTATACACATTTTAAACTCAAAGTTAAATAAAACAAAAATTTCTGGACTTATAACAAAATAAAACAAAAAAAATATAATATATTTTATGATTATTATGAAAAATTAATTTTTATTTTATTTTATTCCTAATTATTATTTTCAAAACACATCAAACACACTGAATTATTACTTTATTTCTGTGTCGAATTTGTGAACGCTCTGTTCTGAGGGGATGTCTTCAAAGTTCGAAAAGTATCATGTAAATCAAGCTCTATTTATTTCTCTACATTCTCGAGACAACGTGCTACTTGATCGTCATATAAATATTTACTAATTTTGTTTAAATACTATAAAAACCTATTAATAACATGTTAGGTGATGATAAATTAATGCATGCGTAACTAACACCCTGGGGTAAATTTCTACCCCACCTACCTGTAAAAGCCAAACGGATGTTTTTTTTCACATCCCGCTTCTACGAGCTCAAACCGCACGCTCTGCATTGAGAATACACAAAACGACATTGCACTAGCTTCGCTAGAAAAAAAGATAGGTTAATTTTTATACACCTGGGGTAAAAAATTACCCCACGGTGTTACTTAAGGGTTAAATTATATTCATGGCAGGTAGGTACATGAAAATTAGCTCTCCCTCGCAATGACTCAAAGGTAAGTATAAACTAATTGATTAAATCTGTAAACACTCCCAAGTCTAAAATAGAAAGACACGGGTCATAACGCGACGTTTATGAATGAGTTACGTTATGTACCTACTCACGGCTTGACGTTTCGGTTGTTATTTTAGTTAAAATGGAACGTGAAAGTTTAAAAACTCCCAAGTCTGATTTCAAGCTAAATAAACAAATCAAGCTCTACCAGACGACAACTTAAATCACGGACAGCCAAATCAAGAAGGGAAAACTTTCCAAAAACAACTAACTCGTACCAAAAATAATAAAACCACTTGAAAGCATCGACCCACTCGAGTCAGGCACAAGTTGGCACATCGCTAATTCGGAGACAATCCCCGAAATGAATACTTGGAGCGACCTTAAATACCGCTAAAGTTGGCAGACTCCATTAAAATCGCAGGGTTTTGACTGTTCAAATTAGACGTGGCAATGCAGAGTTTGCAAGTTTTAATTTTAATGAAGATCCACGTGTAGGGATTTGCTGGGGTTGGGGCCAATAATGTATTGTCACAGTAGAGGTTGACGTAGAAAGACTAGAACTATCTGAACATTCATTTAAAAGGCAGTCTGGTCAGTCAGCCGGAAGACGTAGCGTGGGTAGGCCTCCCACTAGGTGGACCGCCGAGATGCCTGGATGCGAGCGGCGCAGGACCGGTCTTTGTGGAAATCATTGGGGGAGGCCTTTGTCCAGCAGTGGCGTCTTTCGGCTGAAACGAGAGAAAGAACAAACTAGTTGTAGGATAAGCTAAAAATATACTGCAATTTGCGTAATGGCGCTACGCCTTGGAAAAGTTACTTCCCATTTTCACTTTATATTGACTCGTGACATTTATGTTTTTTTCGGGATTTTTAAGAAGTTTTGCATTTCTGGTTAGTAAAGTTTTTATCAGCCTACGGAAGTTTTCTAATTTAACGCGTGGGTTGTGAGGACACTGGTAGTTTGGGCAAATGTACAAAGCAGTAAGCAGTTTCGGTCGTTAGTATCCATTTGGTGGTAAATTCCGATGCAGAATTACTTAGTACAAAAACAAGATCCTTGAAATAAATATGTGTCTGTATTTGATACTAGTTTAACACATAGGTACTTAGATTAAGCTCGAGCTTATATTGACACTAGATTTCCGCCCGCGGCTTCTCCGCGTGGAATTTTGTCCGTCACAGATAAACTTTATCGCGCGCGTCCCTTTTTCAAAAACCGGGATAAAAACTATCCTATTTCCTTTCCTGGAACTCAAACTATATGCCAAATTTCATCAAAATCGGTTTAGTAGTTTAGGCGTGAAAGCAGGACAGACAGACAGAGTTACTTTCGCATTTATAATATTAGTATAGAAGTGTAGACTAGTATACATTGTCATTTTTGGAGCATGTTTCTTTAAATTTAAATATTAGTAAATCTTCATCTTCTTATTGGTAATTTTAGTAGAAAGTTAAAACTAAATATCCATTATGGATCGAACCTACTGTCCAAATGTTTTATAGAACAGCAGATATGAGCTAAGTTCTCATAAAGTTCTACAAACAATCCTACAGAAAATAAAAGCCTTTTGACATTTCTGTTTCATTTCAGATATAAAGCCCTATTACTATTTGCCTTCGTTTCTTTTAGCCTTTTTGAAGCAATGTCTAGTTATTATTTTCAAGTAGCGAGCTCATTGTGACAAGTGTGTGACTATAGCTCGCTGATATCAATGTATCTCGATCGACATCAAATAAGGAAAAGAAGAAGGTTCTTAATTCGATAAAAATTTGTTTAAAGAAAAAAAAAACTCTTTTAAGCGCTTTTCTAAATATAGAGAACTAGCGGCCGCCTGCGACTTCGTACGCGTGTATCCCGTTTTTCCCGTCTTAGTGAGCACCTACGTTCTAAAAGGAACCCCCATGCAAAATTTGAGACTCCAAGCACTTGTAGTTTCTGAGATTTCGTGATGAGCGAGTGAGTCAGTCAGTCAATCAGTGACCTTTCGCTTTTATAGATACGGGTAGATTAAGTACAGAAGCTTATATTGTACTTGTTCTCTCTTGAATTATTAACTGAATTTACTCAAAAATAAATACGCAATAAATTAGTCTGCTTAGCAACCTATCTACTTTTAAACATGCTTCAGTAAAGGTTCGGCCAAACCAACGCGATCAACCTGCATGTGCGATGGCGATGGCGATCAATGCGTTTAAGTCTGACCTTAAAAAAAGCCCAAATGAAGAACACAAGCACGTTCATTCTGCTTACCCAAGCAGCACCATTCAGCATTATCGTACAACCACTTAAATTCTGCCCCAACTTAATTTTAACAATTAAAACAAACTGCACCAATTATTTCGGGACTCAACATAATCCTAAGAAAGCTGTTATTACTTGAAAATATAAGCAGACGTTTACAGCACGATCGTTACAGTTGGGATGTATCCAGTAGGTTTAATGTATGAAGCTTTAGTATGCCAAGGGCGTATGGGGCACAGGGAATTTATTTATTTATCTAGTTGATAGGTAAATATTACATCTAAGACAGCAAACTTACAAAGGCATTGCAGATATTGTATCTACCCATCATATGAACCTTGAATCATCCTAAAAATGACAAGTTTGTCACGATAGCGGATTTTTTTTTCTTATGCAAGACGCCTGTATTTGACCGCAATCGCACCTGATGTTAAATGAGATGCAGTCTAGGATGGTACATATCTGCCCTGTAAGTGC